CGTCACTGAAATTCAGTGTACAGATTATGCCAAGCGGTAATTTTGGAAATTCATACTGAAATGGAGCCTGCTATTCTGTGTCTTGATTAGAACGGATGGATATAAGAATCAAAGTAAAAAAGGGCAATGGTACAAGTTAATTGATTTCCTACACGTCGGTAAAGAACAATTGGAATTTGATTTGAAATGAAAGAAAAATCATTTACAATACTACCCCCAAAACTGAAGCCCATATATAAACCTAACAAAATACGTACAAATGTTCATTCAGAAAACTTTGAAACACAGTTGGAAAAATAATTAGATAAAAGCTAAATCAATAATTCCTCCAAACTTGATCTATAGATCCAGTGTAATTCCAGTCAAAATCCCGGCAAAGACACCAATAAAATGTTTCTAAACCTAAAATAGGCAATATAAGACTGAGGAGGAACAAAGTTGAAGAATTTACACATCCAGATTCCAAGATTTATAAATTTATGAAGAGAGAGTAACATTGGGGAAGAAATGGTCACACAGACAAATGGAACAAGTAGACCAACATAAATATAGCCAACTGATTCTGTACAAGAGCAAAAGAGTCTTTTCCACAAATGGTGATGAAACAGCCAGATGACCTTGTGGGATCAAATGAATGTACAAATGAACTTTACAACTCCCACAAAAATACATACAAAATTATTCATAGACTTAGAATTTAAAGTGGAAAACTGTAAAAATTCTAGGATAGAACAGAGAAGAAAATCTACCTGACCTTGTATTTGGTGATGAGGTTTTATACACAACACCAAAAGCCAGTCCATGAAAGGAAAACTTGATAATGTAGACCTTATTAAAACGAAAATGTCTACTCCATAAAAGACCCCATTAGGAGAATGAAAAGGCAAGGCACATACTGGGATAAAATATTTGGAAAACATCTATCTAAAAAAGGACGATTATTCAAAGTATACCAAGAAAGTAAAACTCAACCAGAAGGAAACAAACAATCTAATAAAAGTGGGTGATGATCTGAACAGACACCTCACCAAAGAATATATAAAGATGGCAAATAAGTATTACCAAAAGCAGCACAATAGCATATGTCATTAGGAGATTGCAAGTTACAACAACAGTGAGGTAGCTGTGTGGCTGTGAGGGTGTTTCTGGAAGAGATGGGCACTGAATGGGTAGCCTGAGCCATGCTCACCAGTGTGGGTGAGTGCCATCCGATCCACTGGGGGCCCAAATAAAGCAATACAGTCTCTCTCTTTTTGAGTTGCAACTTTTGTCTTCTGTCCTTCCCGGTTCTCAAGCCTTTGGGCTCTGAGACTGCACCAGTGGCTCCCCACTTGACTATCTGGTCTTCAGGCTTGTGTGTTATACCACGGGTGTTCCTGGTTCTCCAGCTTGCAGGCAGTAGACTGTGGGACTTCTTGGCCTCTATAATCATGGGAGTCCATTCCCATAATAAATCTCTCTCTCTCTCTCTTTTTTCTTTTTTTGAGTAAGAGTCTGGCTCGGTTGCCCGTGCTGTTGTCCTGCAGTGCCACCTCGGCTCTCATTGTAGCCTTGACTTCCTGGGCTTAAGCAATCTTCCCACCTCACCTCCCCGAGGAGCTAGGACCACAAGTGTGCACCACCATGCTGGCTAATTTTTTTTGGAGACAGTGTTTCGCCATGTTGTCCAGGCTGGTCTCGAACTCCTGAGCAATCCACCCACCTCTGCCTCTCAAAGTGTTGGGATTACAGGCATAGGCCACTGCACTGGGCACAAATATCTCTCTCTATATAGAGATATGTGTGTATATATATATATATGTAAATATATATGTATATAAATATAAAATTCCTATTGGTTCCCTTAGAACAACTCAAATATAAAAGCAATGGCAATAGCAATTGCTGTGGAGGATTAGGAAAAACAGGAGCTCATCACTGCGGGTGGAAGGCATAATGGTACAGCCACTGGCAGTACCAATGATAGTTTTGTCTCAAAGCTAAACATAGTCTCAATCTAGGTGCTCCTAGGTCGACAACTGCTTTGAAAACTTATGTCCAAACAAAAAAAAATGCAGTTATGTACAGCACCCTCTATTCAGATACTTTAAGTTTCCAGATACTTTAAATCAGGATGTCCTTCAATAGGTGAATAAAAAACAAGCTGAAGCACATTCACACAATGGAATACTACTCATTGATGAAAAGGAATGAGCTGTCAAGTCGCTCAAAGGCAGGAGTGAGCCTTCAATGCATATGGCCAAGTGAGAGTGGCGGAGAGAAGAGGTTGCGTTATTCTATTTAGATGCCCTTCTGGAAAGGTAAAGGTAGAGATGCAAGGAAATCAGGGCTTGCTAGTGGTTTGTGCGGAGGCTGTTGAATAGGGGAATGGGGAATGGCAGGAGGTCCCTGGGGCCAGGGGGCCATGGGCTTCCTCTGGCTGTCAGCCATGGGGAGAATTTGCGGAGAAGCTTAGCTGGCTTACTAGCGTGAGCATGGCTGCTTTCCCCTAGGAAGGTCTTCTCCCGTCACACATTTATCTCTTTGGGGTCATTCTAGGGAGGATGTTTTACCCACACTTTGTGATTCCTCAGGACCACGTGGAGGCCCGTCCTCGGGCACAGACCCAGCTCTTCGTATGAGCAAGGTGAAGACGCACAGATGGAAACAACTTCATTCTCTGGGGCTCAGTTTTCCCTCTGCAGTGAGACCAAGCTCCAGCATTTCATTCTCGGTTTTAAATTCAGTTCCTTTTATCTCATCCTGCCATTCAATGGGTCTTAAGAAATGTTTTCCAGAACCTCAAGGGGTGGACGGGACACTTTCTTTAGGGAAAGGTTTTGTCACGCACATGGCATGCTTCTTGGTCCCTGCAGAGGCTCAGGCCTTAGGGCAGCTGCCTCACTAGGCTTCAGGACCTCACAGGTGTCCAGGAGACCACAGGGGTCTGCACGCGAGGGCAGGGGCAGCAGGCGGGCACATCACAATGAGGTGTCGGTGACAGTGACGTCCTGCAGGTTCCCCACCTGCCACCTCCGTCCAGAGGCCTTGCCCGGAGTCCCCCGCTTCCATGCTATGTGCCCTGTACTGCAGTTTACTGGTGAGCTTGGTAGGGCACAGAGAGGACGGCACCACCAACTGGAGGGGGACAGGCCCCGAGCTGGGGCCCAGGATGCACAGAGCGGCAGGGATCGCGGAAGCCCCCTCAGCTCTGGTGTCCTGGCTCTTCCTGCACAGGCTCTCCACGTGACGCCCAGCAAGCCGGATCTCAATTTGTTCACCCATCCTTTATTTTCTGTATTTATGATTAATATTTCTCCACTTTGTCTTTTGTCGGCCTTAGTGACAGTGAGTTTTCCTGTTGAGTTTCTATTCTGTTGGATCTTTATTTGAACAGCGGATAGGCAAATTTGGGGTGATGTTTATTAATGCAAAATGGAAGGTGATATGTCACACACATCCTTCTGCTTCCTGCAGCAGTTTCGCTGTGTGCTGCGTCAAAACAAAAACAAAAACATCAAAAAGAAAACAAAAAAACAGTAAAGAGTGATGGGGAGGACACTTCCTGGAATAATTCCCTTCGATGCCCATTGCGGGTTATGTCAGAGATGAACTGATTTAGGAAAGGAGCTGAGGAAGAAATCCAAGGATTCAAGAAAAGAGGTGCTGTAACTCAGGCTGTATTTCCGCAGGTGAAGGGAATCTTGCCTGTTTCACTCTGGTAAATTACTCATACTAGTTCCTACTACCATGAGAAAACACCGCCTTCAGAAGTTGACAATTAGCAAATTAGAGAACTGCAAAGCCTGTTTTACCCTGAGAACCTGAACCCTTTCTTGTTCCTGAAGAGCCTTCCATCAAGGAGTCTGTGTGGTGGACAAGAGACTGGATCAATTGAAAATAACAGAAACTAGGCCGGGCGCGGTGGCTCAAGCCTGTAATCCCAGCACTTTGGGAGGCCGAGACGGGCGGATCACGAGGTCAGGAGATCGAGACCATCCTGGCTAACACGGTGAAACCCCGTCTCTACTAAAAATACAAAAAACTAGCCGGGCGAGGTGGCGGCGCCTGTAGTCCCAGCTACTCCGGAGGCTGAGGCAGGAGAATGGCGTGAACCCGGGAGGCGGAGCTTGCAGTGAGCTGAGACCCGGCCACTGCACTCCAGCCTGGGCGACAGAGCGAGACTCCGTCTCAAAAAAAAAAAAAAAAAAAAGAAAATAACAGAAACTGTCACCGTGTTCTTCTAGCAACTGTCACTCACCATAACTATCCCACCTGAGGCTTAACCAGAACCCTCCCCTCCAAGAGCTGAAGTCGCCCTGAGAGGGAATGAGCAGGACACCTCTCCACCCCCACAGGGGCCAGCGGGTTGCCGTGGAGCTGGGCTGTCGGAGTCTTGGTCTGACCTGTCCCTGGCCCTCATGTGGGGCCCTAAAGTATGTCTTACACGCTACCTCTCTCACCATCTAAACATGAAGAGGAAGAAAAGAGAAGCTGATTCCTGGGTCTAACGCATTTTAGTGTGGAAGCCAAGTCAAGGCCTCAGAGTCACTCGTCTTCTGTCTTTGCTGTTTCACTCCAGTCTCAAAAGCAATCTTGGTCTTAGGTCTTGGTCAGAGTTTGCCAAATGACAGCGCCTGCCCTCGGTTCATTTTGTCGCACTTCTTACTTTGACAGCGCCATTTGTGAGATTCCTGTTTGCCCATCTTCCTTTCATGCCGAGGAGGTAAGTGCATCCCTCGACCAGGCCACCACTGCAGGTGTGTGTGTCAGAGTGAGGAACAGCAGGGAGATGAGAACAGCATACGGTAGGCGGCCCAGGGGAAGCGTGCTGGGCCCTTAACCCAGAAGGAGGGTCTTGGTGTGTCCAGTTGCTCATTTCCCTGAAAGAAAACCCAGATGTCCTGTGAGGTGAACCTGATGATAGTTTTCCTTTGTAGTTTTAAATGTGCTCATTCAAATTAGAATGCTTAGCCATCCGTCCCTTATTCCAGCATTTCTCCTTTAATCTATGTTTGCAGGGTTGTGAGTTGCGCTGGATAGTATGAAATGTGTTATCAGTGGACGCACAACTGTTGACCTCAGAGCATGTGACCAGACAGTGCAGGAGGAGATGTTGTTAAGTTACTTTGGATGGAAAATGTCCCTCGGTGACCTTGTGGGCCTGATCCAAGGTGAAAGGTGGGGAGAGGACAGAGGGACTGGATGAGCCTGGGTGGGGAGGAAGGTCTGACTGAGGGAAGACAGCTCAGCCCCCAGGGGAAACCTGAGCCCAGTGTTGGGGAAAGTGAGGACACAATGGCGGGGCGAGATGGCCTTGGCACCAGCAGCACTGGGGACCACAGGAGGCCGTGCTTTGTGAGAGGTGAACTTGGCTCCAAGGATGCGAGGCTGGGAGCATGGGGGTGAAAAGGCAGAGAGACAGAGGGGAGCTGAGGCAGGCAGGGCAGAGACAGGGGGCCCAGCAGGGTCTGGGGCAAGAAAGCAAGTATGGGGCAGGGTACCTCCAGCAACTCAGTCACACTGAGGGGATGGCAGGGGCAGCAAGGGACTGGGTGGGGATAAAGTGACAAGACGGGGAGTATGGATATGGGCACTAGTTGGTGTGTGAATAGATCAGCAAGTCTTTTAGAGTCTTGGGAAGTAAAATAAAAATTAAAACAGCAAAAACAAGCTGAGCATGGTGGTACACACCTGTAGTCTCAGCTACTAGGGAGGCTGAGGTGGGAGGATCACTTGAGCCCAGGAGGTTGTGTCTGCAGTGAGCTACCATCACCACTGCACTCCAGCCGGTGACAGAGCTAGACCGTGTCTCCAAACAAAACAAGCAAAACCAAAACCAAAACCACACAAATCTCATGTTTTTGTTTGGGATTATTGCCTGACTCTCATTCCACCCCTGAGAAACCCTCCTCCACTCCAGAGACACCAGCACAGCCAAGTGGTCATGCACCTCTGAGAAACCCTCCTCCACTTCATAGACACCAGCACAGCCAGGTGGTCGTCCCACCTCTGAGAGACCCCTCCCTCAGCCAGGTGGTGGTTCCTTCTCAGAATTTCAGCCCCACTCTCTATCTCTTCAATCATTTAGGTTCTGAGAACCCCAAACTCTTACCATGGTTCCTCCAGTCTTGGGGTTGGCACAGTTTTAGATCTGTGGCATCTTTTTGTTAAATTCCCTATATTCAAGTCTCTTTTTTTCGTTTTTTTTGAGACAGAGTCTTGTTCTGCCGCTCAGGCTGGGGTACAGTGGCTCACTGCAACCTCCACCTCCTGTGTTCAAGTGATTCTTGTGCCTCAGCCTCCTGAGTAGCTGGGATTACAGGTGCATACAACCACACCAGCTATGTTTTTGTGTTTTTAGCAGAGAGGAAGTTTTGCTATGTTGGCCAAGCTGGTCTTGAACTCCTGGCCTCAAGTGATTCGCCCGCCTTGGCCTCCCAAAGTACTGGGATTACAGGCATGAGCCACTGCACCCGGCCAGATCTCTTTGTTATAGTAAGCTTGTGAAGTTTCTGTTTTCCTGACAGATTAATGACCAATACAACTGATGAGGGTAAGACAAATTTAGAAGCTCATCTTCTCCAGCGTTGATGATGCGTCAACATACGGGCACTCATTCAGTGTCAGGAGTGTAAATTACTGCAGCCTTGTAACAAAAATCTGGCAGTAACTCTTATCGTTCAAAATGCATAAGCAATTCAGCTGAGCAATTTTACTTCTACGTCCCTAAATTAGAGCCGCATTCTCTAATGTGTCTAAAGGCACTCTTGCATATTTATTACTGCAATGTTTGGACTTAAATATCCACAACTGGATAACAGGGTAATTAAACAGTTAATTATAATATGGCTCATCCATCTGTTATACAAATGAAATCAATCTCTGTGCACTGTGGTGGAAAGATTTTCTGAACATAGTTCAGATTTTTTTAAAAAGGCCAACTGTTGAATAATGCTTCTGGTGTAACACCACATACATGAAAACGTATGCAATACACCATAATATCTAACGCATGTATATATCCAAATAAATATTTTTATTTTAATTTACTTTTTCTGTGATATTTTTGAACTTAATGGTAATTTCCTACTATGAGCCAAATAACATAATGACAATTTGAAATACTTAGATCTATGGAGTATTCAATTATTACAAGATAATTAAGATAATCTGCAATTATTAAGTGATTCAGCAAAATGTTTTTATTATATAATGTCTACTAATATCATTCTTAGCCTGTTTTTTAAAAATATGCTTTTTATTATACTTTTTATATTATAAAATGAGATTTATTTTATGAAATAAAATTTATATTATAAAATGAGATTTATTTTATAGTTCATCTCCCTTGGACCTTATCTAAAGGGATTTAGTTCTTGAGCACAAAACTAAAGGGATTTAGTTCTTGAGCACAAAAATGATGTCATTACATCACAACATACCTTAGGGCAGGATAATAATAAGACTCTAGTGTTAGGAACTTTGACTGCATTATCCTAGTAATGAGAGATATTAACTAGATCAATGTAATGGATTAAAAGTTAAACAAGTTAGAGATATATTTGTATGAAATGACAACATTGGTCAAGCTATGTATATTTTACATGTTGATTGACTGAATGATCCAATTCCATTAAACTACTGAAAAAACCAGGTCATGCTTGAGATAGTAACATAGAAACCAAAGCTACTTATTGTGGATAAAGAAACCTAAAATCTAATATCAAATATCTTTGCCTCTCCACACCTATGTTGGGTTATAACATTCTAATGACTCAATATTTTCTAAATAAATACATGCTTAGTTTTTGTTTTGGTTCTTATTTAAGTAACTCAGCATTCTTTTATGAGTTACTAGAAACTATTCAAACACTGCTTCTTAAAAGAGAAATCTTTATTTTTTTCTTCTGGGAAGTTTACACAAAGTAAACATATTTACCTCTTGTGTAATTATTAAAACATTAAGAAGCCTGGTTCAGTGGCTCACGTCTGTAACCCCAGCACTTTGGGAGGCCGAGGCAGGTGGATCACCTGAGGTCAGGAGTTCTAGACCAGCCTGGCCAACATGGTGAAAACATGTCTCTACTAAAAACACAAAAATTAGCTGGGCATGGTGGCACGCACCTGTAGTCCCAGCCACCTGGGAGGCTGAAGCATGAGAATCGCTTGAACCTGGGAGGCAGAGGTTGCAGCGAGCTGAGATCGCACCACTGCACTCTAGCCTGGTGACAGAGCAAGACTCCATCACAAAACAAAAACAAAAACAATTAAGAAGTATTCTTTAACCATGTATGTTAAAACCTATAAAAAATCAAAAGCATCAGCTGAGTTTGGTGGCCCACGCCTCTAATCCTAGCACTTTGGGAAGCTGAGGGGGGTGAATCACTTGAGCCCAGGAGTTCAAGACCAGCCTGGGTGACATGGTGAAACCCCATCTCTACAAAAGAATACAAAAATTAGCCGGACATGGTGATGCACACCTGTATTCTTAGCTTCTTGGGAGGCTGAGGTGGGAGGATCACCTGAGCCCGGGAGGTCAAGGTGCAGTGAGCCATGATTGTGCCACTGTACTCCAGCCTGGGCATCAGGGTGACACCCCATCTAAAGAAAAAAAAAATCAAAAGTATCCAAGTAATGAAGGCCAAGAATCCCAAGGGAAAGTGGTTCAAGGCAGAAAGCGTGATTAAAAATGAAAAAAAAAAAAAAAAGAAATGTAAAATGTGAAATATAAATACACCCCTATAATTGATGATACAGAATTCTGCATTGAACCCCAATTCTTTCAGGACATGTGATCTTAGATAATACACTCAAGCTGCTTGACGCTGAATTTTCTTGAGGGTAGTGTTTGAGAGGTGTCTCCAGCTCTGCTGCAGGAAGCACATCCGTGTGTGTTAATGCCCTTCCATAGTGCCTGCCACACAGTAAACACCAAAACACAGGCAGCTCTTTGACTCGCAAAACTGTCAAAATGGGCATCCCCCAAAAGCAGAATGCTGGCAAGTGTCTTCAATGACACAAAATTCTGGCACCCGGCACATTTCCTCCCTTCCTCCCTGCTCTTTTGTATGGATCCATTCTCTCCCATAGCACAGCCGTTTCCTTCCACTCCAATGTGGAAATGCCTTTCTAGTGGAGAGAAGAACATGAGTGACACACAGAAATTCCTTTCCAGGGCTGCTTGGCCAAGCTCTTTCTCTGCCCGCCTCTCTTTGGCCACCTCCTGTTGGGGTGAGTGACAGCAGAGAGGGTACCCTGAACAAAGCCCAGCAAGGTTGCAGGGCTACAGTGTCCAGCAGCCAGGAGCTGAGGTGCCTACCCACATGCCCAGGCCCTGGCGCCCCTGGCTCCAAGCCTCGTGCATCCTCCCAGGCTGACATGGGAAGAAAAGATGGGGATCTGGGAACATTTTCATTTGGCAGAGGTAGATGAGCAAAGCCCACACAACCATGCTGACTGTTCTGGTCTCCTGGCCCGTCCCCACCACCTCCCTGTGCAGAGGAGTTGTACTGCTGTACTCCCTGCTGCCCCAGAGTGTGCCACGTGGTGTGATGGTTAATTTCACTGTCAGCTTGACTGGGCTATGAGATGCCCAGATAGCTGGTAACGCATGATTTCTGGGTGTGCTTTTCAGGTGTTTCTGGAAGAGATTAACATTTGAACCAGTGGACGGAGTAAGAAGATCTCCCTCACCAGCATGGGCGGGCCTCATCCCATCCACAAGGGCCGCTCGGAGCAAGACAGCAGAAGAAGAGCAGACTCTCTTTCCTTGAGGACTGGAGTCTCCCTCCCCAGCCCACCCTCACCTTGTCCTCAGGCCTTTGGCCTCATGCTGAATGACACTGTTGGCTTCCCTGGGCCTCACACCTTCAGACTCAGCCTGAATTATGCCACCGGCGTTCCTGGGTCTCCAGCTTGCAGATGGCAGATTGTGAGACTTCTCAGCTTCTATAATGGTGTGAGCCAGTTCCCATAATAAATCTCCTCTTATCTATATGTCTATGTATATATCCTATTGGTTCTGTTTCTCTGGAGAACCTTGACACACACACATATGGAGACAGGCAAGGGGAGCTGGTGGGAGCTGACACCCTCCCCAAGCTTGTGAAGCAGGGAGTGCCTCTCCCCCAGCTTATGTCAGGAAGGGCGTGGGGTCTCGGGCACAGGGAAACCTGAGCCCCACCAAGATATTCAGGGGCATGGATTTCTCCCCACCCTTCTGAACTCAGGGCTGCCCACCCCAAACCTTCAAGTTCCACTTTTGGGATATGCGAGGCCTCTTGTCTTTCACTCTCCCTGGATGCTCCGTGGGGAGATTCGGCCCCTAAGGCTCACAGCCTCCTCCACTATGCCTCGGGCCAAATGCATCTCCAGGCAATGGGGGAGGCCTGAGAGGCCCAGGGCATGGGGCTTGTTCTTTTTTGAGCATTTTCACTTTTACGAGCCCCGGAACATTTGTTCATTGGGTTTGTGCTTTGTCTTTCTAATGACAGTCTATTAAAAATAACAATTTTTCGGCCAGGTGCGGTGGCTCATGCCTGTAATTCCAGCAGCTTGGGAGGCTAAGGCAGGTTGATCACCTGAGGTCTGGAGTTTGAGACTGGCCTAGCCAACATGGTGAAGCCCCATCTCTACTAAAGATACAAAAATTTGCCGGGTATGGTGGTGGGCGCCTGTAATCCCAGCTACACTGGAGGCTGAGACAGGAGAATCGCTTGAACCAGGGAAGCGGAGGTTGCAGTGAGCCGAGATCACACCCAGTGCACTCCAGCCTAGGCAACAATAACAAACCTGCATCTCAAAATGAATGAATGAATGAATGAATAAATAAATAAATAAAAGGCTGGGCATGGTGGCTTATACCTGTAATCCCAGCAATTTGGGAGGCCGAGGCGGGTGGATCACTTGAGGTCAGGAGTTGGAGACCAGCCTGGCCAACATCGTGAAACCTCGTCTCTGTTAAAAATACAAAAATCAGCCAGGTGTGATGGCGGGCGCCTGTAATTCCAGCTACTCGGGAGGTTGAGGCAGGAGAATCCATTGAACTGGGGAGGTGGAGGTTGCAGTGAGCCGAGATCGCACCACTGCACTCCAGCCTGGGTGACCGAGTGAGACTCCATCTCAAAAAATAAATAAATAAATAAATAAATAAATAAATAAATAATAAATAAATAACAATTTTTAAAATGAGATAACTTCACAAATGCAAGTGAGTGAAACAGGACGATGGCAGGGCAGCAAGCTACTGTTATCCTCTCTCTCTGATTCTTTCCCTTCCTAGAGGCCACAGCCAGCTCTCAATAAGAGCCGCAGCTGACCCATTCCTTTCCCTAAGCCCAGGCTCCTAGGAAGCCCCAGACCTTCCCCCACAGGGCACAGACAGATGATGCCTTCTCTTTTGTAAGGAACAAATATATTTGGGAAGACTAAATGTCTTTGATTGTGAGAATCAGAGGCCATCCTGTTTGGAGGATGTGGTGGTGTAAGAACTGACTGATGGGCGGTGGTAGCTGTATCCGCATTTGGGGGGAGGGGGATAGAGTCAGGAGATGGACATCTGGCTACAGGAACCCATCTCTAAAAAATACAAAAAATAGCTGGCACGTGGGGCTGTGTCCACTCGGAGTGAGGAGAATGGTGAACCGGAGAGAGCTTGCAGTGAGATCGGCACTGATCAGCTGGGGAGAGGAACTCATTCAAAAAAAAAAAAAAAAAAAAAAAAAAAAATGATGTTCTTATTTGTGCTAGACCTTTGGTGTGGAGGGACATGGGCCTCAGACACGGCTTAGGGGTGTCCAGGGCTGTGCTGTCTTTCCTGGGGAGTAAAAGAGTGGGATTGCTTAAAACCATGGCATGACCTGCAATCTCACAGATCTCAAGGCACATGATCCTGTCTCAGGCCCCTCTGCTCTACCTTTCAGCTCTACTTGTCCTCAAGTTCCTCCCACGTGGGATTTCCTTCCATGTATCAACCCTGCCCGTGAGCCCAGGTGTCTCTGGTAGGACGCTGGTATGTTCCTCTGGTTTCATAGCTCTTTGCCCACAGCAGCTCTGATGTCAGGTGGCCTGGGCCCTGCACAGGTCTGTGGGAAGGTGCAGGCCCTGGGTGAGGAGATCAGGGGCGTGATGGCTCACTGGACCTCAGAGGTGATGGGAAAGAGCAGTGTCTTCTCCCGCTCCCCATGTAGCAGTACATAGCATTGACACTATATTAGGTATTATAAGGAATCCAGAGATGATTGAGAGTACACAGGAAGATATGCTCAGGTCATAAGCAAATGCTACACCATTTTCTATCAGAGACTTGATTGAACCTCTGTGGATTTTGGTGTCCTTGGGGGTCTGGAGTCAGTCCCCCATGGACCGTGAGGGCCGAGTGTGCGTTTATCCTGGGATTGATCAGTGTCTCCTCAGAGTCTCCTAGAGACTCAGTCTTGCTCTCACAGTGTGATTTTGTGATATTATAAGCATGTGTCTGGTCTGTGTCCCCAGTCTCTGGCACCGTAGAGTTCCTAACCCCTTGCAGTTTTCTGAGACCTGTAGGGGTGACAGGAGCTCCTTTTGTTCTGCGGTGACTCTTGGTGGGCCCCTAGGAAGCTTCAGTGTGGCCCCGGTCACCAGAAAGGCCACTCACACGATCAGAGGGTTGAAACGGTCTGTCCCACCTCTGCACCCCCAGGGAGAGAAGAGGGCTGGAGATTGAGTGAGTCACCCGTGGCCAGTGATGTAATAAATCATGCCACATGATGGAACCCCCATAAAGCCCCCAAGCAACTGGGTTCTGAGAGCTCCCAGGTTGGTGACCACAGGGAGGTGCTGGGAGGGTGCTGTGCCCAGAGCGTGTGGGAGCTCTGTGCACCCCCCACCACAGTGCCCTGTGCATCTGTTCCTCTTGGCTGTTCTGGAGTAGTGTCCCTTGTAATAACCAGTGATAGGAAGCTGAGTGCTTTCCTGAGTTCTCTGCATCATTCCAGCAAACCATGGGGCCTGGAGACGGGGTTATGTAAACCCTCCCTTGATGGCTGGCCAGTCAGAAGTACGAGAGGCCTGGGGCTTGTGTCCAAAGTGAGGGCAGCCTTATGGGGCTGAGCCCTTAACCTGTGGGGTCTGCACTAACTCTGTTTAGTAAGTGTTAGAATTGAGTTGTGCATAAAAGCAGTTCAGACAAGGCTGGCCTTAGAGGAGATGACAGGCCTGGTGCAGATTCACCTGGGAAGGGAAGGCAGCTGATGAACAGGGGCTGGGGGATACTCTCCTGGGCTGCCTGGAGCACTCACAACAAGCCAGTCCATGGCCCCAAAAGCATAGCGTGTAGGGTTTTAGCCTGGCATCCAGGAGAGACTGGAGAGAAGCCCCGGTCTGCCCTCCACCACCACCTCCTGCCCTGCCCAACCTGTTCCTCTAGACTGATGTTCTCCTCTCTCCTGTGACTTTCTACCCTGGGGGGCGGGAGGGGGGTCATCTCTCTGAGCTAATCATTGATTTAGAAAAGTGAAAAGAAAGCAAATGAAACCAAGAGTCAGACTCTTTTAGTGGGCTGGGCTTAGGGTTCCTTTACCAGATGGATGTCCCCGTCTTTCTTGCATATTGGTGACTTTTGGACGAACTGAATGCAGTTGCATTCAGTTGTGTGCACCCCACACAAATGATGGAAGAGGCGTCCAAAGCCCCAGGCTCACCAAATGCAGGAGAAGCCACCCTCTAGTCATCTAAAGTGTGCTGCTGCCTCACCTACAGGCCAAGAGAACACTCAAAATGGATGTTGAATTCCAGGCCCGAATCACAGCACTAGGGGAGGAAACTGCTCTGGGCCCATCCGGGCAGACCCACTCCTCCTAGCATCTAGATCCCTCCATCCTGGTCTGGGACTACCTGTTTTTCATCAAACTTACAAGTTTTTTTTTTACTCCACTTACAATCGAGACATTGGCAGAGTTTCCCTCCGGTCCTTAGAGATAGAGGGTCAAACCACATGTCTGGAGGTTTCAAGATTTCTCAGAAGTCTTTTTCTAATTTTCTGGCATTAAATAAAAAAATAGAATGCACAGATGAAACATACAAGGCGATGTATTTTCACAAAGTCAATATGCTGTGCAAGTAGGACTTAGGTCAGCAAACAGATTTATCCCAAATTTATCTGATAAGAGGACCCCAAATGCTCCCCAGGGGTGCTGACTGCTCAGCTTCCTACTCCATGACATCTCCATATGTGCAGCGCCGCCTCCCCACAACGCCTGTGGAAGGCCTGGATTGCTGCCACGTGACCTTGGAAATGTCATTTCTCCTTCTGGCCTCATTTCTCTGTCTGCACCATGAAAGTGTTGAAGTTAAATGACTTCATATATTGTCTTCCTCCGTTGATCCTTCCAGTGGCTTCTCTTTATATCCAGATTCAAACCCAAGTACCTTTCTTGCCTATGTAGTAGGCAGCCTCCCTAATGGCTCCCTGTGATCCACACCCCTGAGATACACATCCTTGTGCAACACCCTCCCCTGGAGTGTGCACTAGACCCTGTTCTAATCACAGAATGTGGCAAAAGTGATGGGATATCTCCTCCAAGGTTTAGTTGTTAGTAACCATGGCTGACATTTTCCCAGATCTTCTCAGCTCTCTCTTCCCCCCTCTCTCCCTCTCTTCGCCTCCTCTCTCTTTCCCCCTTCCTCTCTCTAAGCCCTGGCTCTGGGGAGCAGCTGCTCTGTTAGGAACTATCCTCAGGGGAGGCTCCTGTGGCTTAGGACCCAGAGAGGACAACAGAGGGGAACCTGGCCCTTCAGTCCACATGGAATCCTTCCAATAGCCCCATGAATGAGCTTGAAGGTGGATCCTGCCCCAGTTGAGTCTCAGAGGAGACCTTAGCCCAGCCCCCTGAGAGACCGTGTGGTAGAAGCACCCTGTTGAGCTGGGCTGGGCCTGGGCCTCCTATGGAAACCAGAGATGGTGAGTGCCTGTTGTTATGGGCAGCTATGGGTGGGGCAGTGTTTCCACACAGCAGTGG